GTTTGTTGTTAGCTATTTGGTACGGATTGTCAGTTTTTGATAGTTACCTATGACGTTTGCTTCTGCTGCCTGTGATTGTGTGGAGTGCTTCTTAAGGAGGAAGGAATACATACGATTCCATTAATCTTTTTTTATTTAGAAATGCACAGAGTATAGATGACTATGGTAAGTATGGTAACAAGAGAACCAGTTTCTAAACTTAGAAACTGCTATTGCACAAAGTTTGAAGGTTGTTAAACTGTTTATTTCACGTGAACAATAGTGCTACTGAATTGGCAAGTTTCGTTTGGATATCGGGAGTAGCGTAATGGAAAAGCGCCAGATTTTTTTTTGAACACCCATGCAGTCGTATCATTATCTAGCAGCAGCTAATGATACGATTATGGATAAAACTGAGTGGCAATACTGGGAGATGCACCTACATGAACGATTACTATGCTGTAAGGACGGCATAGTGCTGTGGTAGGCCAACATGTTAAGCCTGAATTACAACATGTCAATACAGCACAAACGTGGAAGACAAAATTGGTGTATAAATCTAAATGAACTGTGGTGGTATTATGTTTTAAAAACTAACACTTTTAGCAAAATGTGATGAGTGAATGGACTGCCATTCAGTTACCTAGGCTTCAGTCTCTGCCCTACTTGGCCCTGCTAGCTGCTGCATGAAAGCTATTTGGTAAGTCACTGATGCAAAAGTAGCACAAATGTTATTCTACATTTTAACGCCACAAAAACATGGGTGTCTGCTCACCAGAAACTAGTTGGATAATTAAACAGAAATTCGCAGAAGTAACGTATATTAACTGGTTATAAGCACTGTTTTTCCACAGGTTGAATAGCTCTGTGCAAGAAATAAATACATCTGATAAAAACTAGAAACATGTACTGTATTGAGCACATTATGTTGCTAAACTCTAGTTCACAAATTTGAATGGGAACCTAAAGGTTTGATCAATTTCTACAATATCATAAATTATAATTTTTCCCATGGTACTTATTACACTGTTATTACTGGATTTTTTATGTTGGACCCTATACTTTCAAACATATTGTAAATATTATTTTATGTGTTGGTGAAAACAGGCTCCACTTTATGCTTAATTGATAGTTCCAAAATCTTAAAGAATATCATTCTCACCAGTTAATGTTGATTAAAATAATGTAATTTGTCAAACAGAAGGTTCAAACTTTTGTCACAAATATGGCTGGCTTTCTTTCCAAAAACTGTTTGTCTTGCTTGTTTATAAATCTTGGTCAAACAAGTGACACAGGACTCTGAAGTTAAATCAGATATAACATAACATGGACAACAAATAATCTTTTCATATGATATTATTTTCATGAGTAGGACTTGGCATAATTTTTCAAGGCCGTATAATATGCCATAAATAAAATATTTGAGAATGGGAAATAATCAGAGATCTAAGAGAATTTATGAATTACATATATAAATACATTTATAACAAATAAATTTACTAAACCTAAAATAACAGTCTACACAAACATCCAATAAGTACAGATTTTTAGATTTCAAGTTGTATTTGTGTTTTACAGTTTGTGTAATTAATTACTAACTGTATTAAATATCCTAAGTATAGTTTGGTAATTTAATGTTTCTGAATGGTGTTACTAACTGCTTGGATAGTGAAGCCCATAGCAGTCTTCATGCTGGTTGCAATTTTCCTGAAGCTATTTCTTGCTGAAATACATGCCTCATGCCACACAATATTATTTACTAGTCTCAGAAGAGATATATTGTATCAAAAAATGCAGTCTCATTCCACTTTTTTAACATGTATTCAAGAAAAACTAGTATAGCATATTATATTTCTATGATGAGCTGTGGAATTCCAGCAAGTAATTTTACTGCATGCCAACTAGACATCAGGGTTTTCATTCTTACTGATGAACCCTTGATGGGATGAAAATCGTGTCAGAAATGAAGCCTATTATTAAAAGATTAATCTAGTGAAGGCAGTGTCCAGTATCTTACGATTTGTTTTGTAAAGAAGATTACGAAGTAATAAGTGAACCTTATTGCAATAGTAGGCCTAATATGGTAGCACTTTTAATAATTTTCCATTGTATTTCAAAAAATTTCCCTAATTTAAAACCTTGCACCATATCAATCAATACAAAAGGGTGAACTTGAAAGGCTGAGAACTCCTGCTTTAGTGAATTTTATACAAGATGATTCATTCCTCATAGTGAATCAAGCTTAATCATACAGGAATGGGAGATATACATTGCCTATAATGTGGGACTGCTGGCCAGACTTCAAACTCTAGGGTTAATGGTATAGTGGTATGATGGACGTCCAGCTGGACCACGTATGACATTATGGATGTTTGATTAAGGTTGTTCAGGCTACAGTAGTGTTGTAGCTACACCAATGAATTTACCTTCACCATTCAACTCTGTGTTGTTGTAACTTGTATGTTTGGTCTTTGACAAACCTGGCATGAAAGAAAGTGAGAATCCACATTTCAGATTGGAACACACATTTTGGGATCTCCAATGTCTATGATGATACGAAAATGAAGATGAATGCCAACAGAAGGGATCTACAGCATAATGTATAATCTGAACCATAGTAGGGACTTATTTAAAACCCTTAAAGTTGCAATAAGTATGATAATATTCATGGTAGTTGTAAGAACTTTAACATCCAGCATAGAATCAAGCTGATAGACTTAAATCTTCTATTTTATATTTTAATAAATGTTAAGAATAAAATTGTAATGAAAAGCATTTTGAAAGATTTCTGAAATCTTCATACTCACCACTGTGAAAACCTCAAACCATACAAGCATTTTTAAGTTGTGTGACCACAGTAGATATTTATATTATTTCATTATTTTTGTCTTATAAAATGTTAAAATTGAAAGGCAATTAAGTTACAGAAACCACAAAAAAGTTTCATAACAAATCATTAAGTAATGCAAGAGAAAATCCATTTCACCTGTGGACACACAAAACTGGCTATGCAAACGTTTTTTGTTCTGGTAGCCATTGTGCAACCATTTGCTGACAAGAGTTTATAGTTTCATTTCCAGCTTGCTCCACAACACACTGCTTGATTAACATATAACTAAAGAGTGAGGTCAAACCACCCATGTGCACATGAATCACTGTTTCAGACTTTAGAACCGATAGTATATATTTAAAGGCATTAAAAGAAAAGAAAAGGTCATTTATGTAGAAGTTTTTAGTAATGCAGTTTTGTATGGTACACCCTGAAACATATCTAAATGGTAAATCTACATCACCTTTACAATAGTACCTTCTTTGTCAGAACAGACATTACAGCTTTAAGAGCAACCATGGTAGGCCAATGATGAAGCCCAATGCCATGAACTGCTTATGAGAGTATGTATGCATGTGGGCACTGAGGCAACACATTGCACTGCAACCACTGCCTCCTTAATTCTATTAATTTGCCAGTAGTCCTGTCCCTGCAATGAAACACAAGTTTCTTGCACAGCAATATCTCATAATTGCCTGGGTTCTCAAAATACCTGCCAAAATGACAAAATCAAGTTTCAGATGGGGCCTTGTATTCACAAAGAACATGCAAGGTTCTTTTTGTTTCTAAGTCAACACCTTTTACAAATGGGTTTATTTACTTTCGCCAAATCGAAGAGGTGTCTCCTGAAGGGACAGTATCCTGTTAGTAGCCCTGTAACTTGTCTAATA